GGAGGCTCCTGCCTTCCTCAGCAGACACCTGGCTTTTGAAACAAAGACATCTGCACAAACCATTGCTGTATGAGCAGTAAGTGCACCCTGCCTCAGCAGAGACATCTCAGGGAAGGAGCCAGGAACAGCTCCTGTCAATGCAGGCCGGGCTCTGACTCAGGATTTTCCAGTTAGACTCAGGATTTTCCCAGATTTTCTTTCCATGAATCCAAGCCCTCTCAAAGAGTGTTCACCCACAGGATTCATTCCTGCCTGGGATGCCAGATGCTGCCTCCAGCTCCACTCCAAGATGCAGATGGAGAGTGGAGGGGATGATGTGGGTGCACACGTGAGCGTGGGCTTCTCCTCCAGTGAATCAGCCACAATCACAACAGCCAGGGATGCTCTGCTCAATGCTTTTAGAAAAGGACACTTAAAGGAACGTGAGCAAAATTAAAATACTGAACAAGTCAGATTAAAAAACCATGAGCTGTAAACCTTAGAAGAGAAACACAATTTTGCCTCTAACACACACAAAGAGAATTTTCAAGAGCAATTCACTCTGTGTGTTCTTCAAGGAGCTTTTTCAGCCTGGGCTTATGCTCACTTTTTCAAAAGAGGCTGACCTGAACATTTTTTTATTTCTTTCAAGCACAACAATCCAACCCAAAGCCATTTCTTTTTGTCTGGCTCTGTATTAATTTCAATTCCATCAACGAGGCAGTTGCATAACTCTTGTTTGTAATTGCTGTCACGTCAACCCTGCAACTGATCACTGCAACACTGAAGTTATATAAAAGGTTTTGTTAGGATTTTTGTTATTTTTCTCCTTTAAATTGTGGGAAGATGAAGTCCTACCCTGGAGAGATGTTTTGGTTTTCTAAGCTCTGTTGTCTATTAGTCTTGTGTCTTTTCTCTCCAGTTTTGTTTTACACAGGGTCTGTTTATGCACAGAAACTCTCCAAAAAGTTCTGGGCACCCCACTCATACACAGGCTATAAAATAAACTCTGCTGAGTCAGAGAAGCTACTGGCAAAAGCAAAGTTCACAAAATGGGTTTGCTCTTAAGGAGCAATTTCAATTTCTGGCAAGGCAGACTATTTAAATGCTCCAGTGGCTGGAATTGTAATTTACCTTGTTCTTCCAGAACCAGTGGGCTGTTTCCATGCAATGATGGAGTATCAGACCCCATGGGATCCTTTCTCCTTGTGTCTCTTCACCCAAACACACAGAATTGCTCCTGGAATTCAGAGTCAGCTCCTCCAAACTCCTCATGGTCTCCTTGCTCCTCCTGAGCACTCCTGATCATCCCCTTTGACCAGGGCTGTGCTCACCTGGCAGGGAGGCTTCTCCTGCCCCCAGAGAATTTAAATGATCCATTTTACCTCTCATTTTCTGTCCTGCTGGAGGCACAAATGCCAGGGCCATGCTCACAGATCTCCTGGGCCCAAGGTAGTCTGAAAGGCATTCAGCACTGCAGACAGAAATGCTTCAAGCCAACAAATAATGAAGGACTTTATTTTGACATCAGTGAATTGTACCCAGTACTTACTCCACTTATGTTCCTTCATACTTAAAAGCAATCTGTTTGTAGCTGACATTGTTTTTTTCTTTAAAATAGTCTAGACAATGTCAGATTCTACAAAGAGAAAAAAAGAAAAATATACTGAAGTACCAATATAATGAAGTATCAATGTTCACTCCTTCCTCAAAAAAAAGAAAACCCTTCAAGACCAGAATATATAAAATTATAAAATATATCTGCTTCTTACAGTGTCTTGTCTGTAAGTCCTGCCTCCCTGGGAAGGAGAAGCTTGTTTAGAGAAGGGCTTGGGATGGCAGGAAACCACATCTCTCATTCCCAGTCCAAAATCAAGAGAAGCTTGTAAGGGCTAAACCAGAGCAAAGAAGCTAAACCAGAGCAAAGCAAGGTTCTTGGTAGAGATCTGGGGTTTTAACCCATTTATTTCATCATTTCCCAGGACACAGCAGTACCAGCTGCTCCTGAGGGAAGCAGCAAGGAAGGAGTTGGTCAGCTGCTGTTTTCACATGGTCATTGTTCAAAATTCCTTCTGGATTGTGTGTGCACCTTCAGGGGAGCAGGCAGCACTCTGTGAGGAAAAACTGTCACATTCTGAGTGCTGGAAGCTTTGCAAACCACAGATTTGGAGCACCTAGGGAGGCATGGGGAGCCGGGGAATGCAGTTTAGCCAGCTGCAGTGCATGCATTCCTACAGACACTCCCACAGGAATCCAGTGGTGTTTGAAATGAGAGGGGTGTGTGTCAAAGCCAGGGCACAGCCACTCAACACTCAGTCACATTTAATTCATTAATTTCATAATTTGGATAGAAGAGATCAAACTTCAACAGGGAGGTAAAGGTTCAGGGGAGATACACAAATAGATGCCCTGTGAGTTGCTCTCTTATCTTCACCTGAGACCTTGTGACTGAGACGAAGGCAGCTCACGCTCAAAGGCAATTAACTCAAGAGTGGTTTTCAAACACACAGATCTCACTCGGGGTGTTTGTGGCCTATTTCTCAAGGATTTGTGAAAGGCAGCTGAGGAAATCAGGGCTCCTGGCAGTGACTCTGCTGTTCAAGCATGTTTGTGTGCCCTGAAAAGCTGCCAACAGACCCCAAACTCCACCAGGACTGCACCCCAACCTCGGGCTGTAAGAAAGGCTCTGCCATGGGCACACCTCCCTGCTCTGCATGCTCAGGGTCTCACAGCAACCTCAGCTCTCACAGGGGTGATGTTGTGATGTTACCTCACTCCTCTGGAGATGCAGCTTGAGGAAAGCGAAGAAGAAATAAGAAAATGCATCCCAGAATTCAAAACCCTCTGATAATGTACTGAAAGAAATGGATGGTTTAGGTTTAATCCCAAGTGTAGTTTAAGGCAATTTTTTTCTATTTTAGTTATCTCTCTTGCTCTGTTTGGAATCCAAGCAAATGAGCAACAGAAATTGTTTTAAGATGTTCTGTGTTTTTACATCTCTCTTGTGAAGAACACCAGCATTTCAAAGAACTGAACACTTCCAACAAGTTAGAGAGGAGAAATAAAAAGGTGTTTGCATTGAAACTGTATTCATGCACAACCCCAGCCAGGTTTCTCTCAGCAGCTTCATTTTCCTGGGGATATCACTGGGTAGGAATGGTGCAATCAGCCCTGGGAGAACTCTCATCCCTGCTCTGCCACATTCTCAGTAGCTGAGTTTGGTCTTTGCTCAGACACTCTCCTCTAAGCAAAAGGAATAATCCTTTATTACTGTCAGGAATAAAATGCTGAATGCTCCAAGGAAGCCACACAAAAAGCTTCAATAGTGTGCACTTGCTTTGTTAAGGGTGCCTAAAAGATGTTTCACACAAAATATATGGTTGTGCTTTGGAAAATCCTGCTCCAGTCACCAGCCCAGGCCTTGCCATCCACCAGGGGTGCCTGTCCAGCTCTGGGTGCTGTGAATTCACAGCTCCACCATCCACTCATGTCTGTAAAATTCTTTCTCCTGTCCAGCCAAGGTCTGCTCAGCAGGACAGCCCACCGCATTCTGCTTGCCCCTGGGGCAGTGTTATCTTTTTATACTAAAAACTGCGTGTACAATGTTTACAATTGCTTTCCAATACCTATCACCTATGTTAGACAGTGAGCTTCTACTCTAAACCAATCTAAAAGTGTCACCATCACAGCAGAAGATGGAGGCCAAGAAGAAGAAGAAGGAGAAAGGCTGGACATGCCCAGATTCCTCCATCTTGCCCCCTGAACCTCCATTCTAAAAAACTCCCAAATCTACTTTTTCACCTCATGATAATTTCACTGTCATTCTACTTAATTTGTTTGTGGCTTGCAGATCTTCATCTAAGGTTGGTAACTTGCTCCATGGGTCATAATCAAAACCACAGGGGCATTTTGGGCTCTGTGCCAGGGTCTCTGAGCCCCCTGGCAGGGGTCTTGGCTGCTTAGGACAGCCAGAGGGATGTCCTGGGTCCTGCCCAGCTCTGGGTGCTCTGTGTGAATTTACAACCAGCCAGAATTTACTGCAGACTCCAAATGTGACCTGGCTTCAATTAACCAAAATTTCTGCTTTCATGGGAGACCCAAGCCTCTGTCACACTGCATCTCTCCAGGGCCCTCACCAGATTAACTCCCTCTTCCAATTATGCTCAGGTTCAGACACCTGTCCCTATTCATGTTCCTCAAAGGAGAACTTGGGATTTAAAACTATCCAGCCCTACCCATGCTCATCGTGGCTCCAGCTGCTCTGCACCAGAGAGAGCTTTTCCATTTTGTGCCTCACTCCTGTGTCAGACACTGAGCACAGTTGGCAGCTGGTGTATAAATCACCCCAGCCTGCTTGTATTGAGCTGGTGTAGGGCAGAGTTAGCTCCTCAGCCAAGCACTTCCCAGCCTGCCATTTTCCAAGTTATGTGTGGATCCAGGATTGCAGCTCACTCACAGGTGGGGCTGTAGGAGGAAAGTGATTTTAATTGCCAGGGTTGCAGAAACAGCAGAGATGGATTTTGAGTCCCACACTCTGGGCTGTTTCAGGACTCCTCTGAAGCTCACAGCTGCCACTGCAGTGAGTGCCTACTGTACTTTAAACCCCTTCTGCTTTGGCTGATTTGATGAGGCTCCCCCTTGGCTTTCCATCAACATCACCCCAAGGAAAGTTGGCCCCAGCACTTTTGCAGAATGAGGTCTAAAGAGAACATGAACAGAAGGCAATTTAATATACAAAGGAAGATGAAACAGAAATGTGTGCTTTATTCTTAATACTCTTTACTCATGTAACTTCTCCATCCATCTATTAGTGTTAATTTTGTTTTAAACTACCTTTCTCCCAGTGACAGCTTCAGCACCAGTGAGTTCTCCTCATATCAGCTATTTTGGGACTGGTTAAAAGCAAAGCTTTGAGAGAATGTGGCTCAAGGGACAGGGTTCTCTCACTGAAGGTCCAGGTTACTCTGCTGCACTGCAAGGCAAACACTGCCAGAGTTAAATAACCACACAAAGCAAAGATATACTCCATAAAACATTAATATTTTAATGAAAAATCTTAGCTTCATATTTCTATCCAAAGACACTCAAAACTAGTTTTTCTCCCCCCTTAATTTTGACCTATAATGGGACCAGTTTGGAGATTTTTTTTTTTTGTATTTTGGAAGTTTTTTTTTAAAGATTAAACAACCAGGCTAGCAAAAAGGTACCCAATACATACTTTTCTTATATCAAACAAGCTAGTATTTCAATACAATGTAACTATACAGAATATATACATTACACATATGATCACAAAGCAAACACTACAGGCTCAGAACAGATTTGAAAAAACATGATATTCACATTGATTACAATAACTCTAAAAATGATTGTAACGTTGAAACGGCACTTAGTTTACAAAAAAAGTCACAAAAATATATATAGCCACCAAGAACTATGGTTCCTGAAAAATACTAATAGCCAGATAGTATTATATAAAATGTGAAGTGTATTTAAACATCGTATACATTAAAAAACAAAACCAAAACCCAAAACCAATTCTGTTAGGTCAATAAACATGCCAAGTAATCTAGCTGTGGCCAGCATCAACAAGAGAAGCTGTACTGAGGATGAGATGATGACTGATATACGGCTGGTGACTGGAGACTGGCACAGTTAAGGGGGTTTCACTGTTACTAAAATGCACAAAGAAGCCCAACAATAATTTAATTCACATTTTTTTTCCCCTCCAGCTTCCACTTTTCCCTCTTTGGGGTTTCACCATGGGCAGCACCTCGAGTGAAGGCACTGCAGAACAGAGCAAGGAAGCCGTCCAAGGACTCGGTGTAGCCAGGGTTACAGGTCAGAATATCAAAAGCATGCACAGCTAAATGAATGGTGAAACAAAATCACTCTTCTGGGGACTTCAGCAACCCTCAGGAAGACTGTAGGTACAGTTGCCACACAGGCTGGCAGCACCAGATTCCATTTTTTTTTTTTTAGTGCAACCAGATTTGTAGCTGAGAGCTGTGGGACACGGAGTTACTGTGCTAGCACACGGAGTGAACAAAAATCCAGAGCAGTAAGTACTGTTGCACTAAAAAAATTCACATTTGTTTCTTTCATGGTACATTTCCTCAAATACTTGGAACCCACTCTATTTACCAGGTACCTCTGGTGTGGTGAGGTACTGTCTTGAACCCTCTTACCTGCCATCATCACGATGCTATGGGATTTATTATGTCTACAGTTGGAGATGAGAACCCTCCAAAACAGGATTTCCCCTTGTGAGCAAAACTGGAACGTGAGCGGCCTGAATGAAAATCAGCTATTTTCCATTTTCTGATGGTGTGGAAGTTGCAATGGATGTGGGAGCAGCAGGTGCTCCTCCATCTGAATTCTCTCATCCCTGCAGGGTGCACAAAGCTCCTGCTGGGTTTGCATATAAAATGCTTCCTGGTTTGTCTCTGAGAGAGACCAGCACTCACCTCAGCCCTCCCAACCCAGGGCTGCAGGGTGGAACCAGCGACCAAGAAGTGCCTGAAGCCCTCATATAAAACCTTAAACCATAGCTTAAAAACAATAAAACTCCATCCCACAGGGGACATATAGGGATCATAGTCTTATAAAATATATCTGACTGCATTGGCAGCTATTACTTTTTTAAAAAGTTTAAATTCACATCTTTTCGACTCAGAATCCATGTGAAGCCAGAACCATTTCCAATACCCGAGTCTACTGATCTCTCAGTATGAGAGACTTGGCCGTGGTCTCTGCGAGCCTGACAACTGAACTCCAGCTGTGGGGACACCACTTGGGCTCACTCTGCTTGCAGCAGGAGGGCTGAACCACATCAGCCCTGACCCTTGTCTAGCAGACACAGAAATGCATACTAAATAATGGATTTTTTGGGAGGGAGGGGAAAAAAGTGAAGAAGAAATAAGAAAATGCATCCCAGAATTCAAAACCCTCTGATAATGTGCTGAAAGAAATGGATGGTTTAGGTTTAATCCCAAGTGTAGTTTAAGGCAATTTTTTTCTATTTTAGTTATCTCTCTTGCTCTGTTTGGAATCCAAGCACATGAGCAACATAAATTGTTTGAAGATGTCCTGTGTTTTTACATCTCTCTTGTGAAGAACACCAGCATTTCAAAGAACTGAGCACTTCCAACAAGTTTTAGAGAGGAGGAATAAAAAGGTGTTTGCATTTAAACCGTATTCATTTCTATGGAGAAAAGAGATATTAACAAGAAACAATTACAGACAAGAAAATTAACAAGTAAACTCAACCCTAAACCAACCAAACAAAATCCTCCAAGAACTCTATTATTCCTCCAGTTGAACCAGATGGAAAAGTGAGAACTAAATTAAGATGTTACCAGAGATTAGGAAGCTGAAAAGATAATGTGTAACACACAGTGCAATGAACAATGAACCCCAGGCCTTGCCTTGTTCCTCAGTGTTAATGATGCTTATTTCTTTTCAAGGAAGAACAGATCAGAGTTGTAAAGTCTTTGTAACTTTCCCCTTTCTCTTTGGTATTCTGAAAGCAATTTGCCTTCTGACTCAAAATTTTAAGTCTTAAAATCCAATATGCACGTATGTCTGTGGTGTATTTGTACCTTCTCACCAATGAACTCTTTAGTAAAATACTTCAGGGATGAAAATGATCAGATTTTAATGATCAGATTATGTCTTCCAGCTCATCCCTGACCACCTTTGATTATTACATCTGTGCAGTCAGGAAATGTGGTTTGGGTGAAGCACTGTTCAGAACATGACTCACAAAGGACTCTCATTTACCTGTGGAACATGTCAGGAAAAAGAGAAAACGCTGGATTTGAGCTCAGTGTTGCAGCCCTCTAGGTCAGAACAAAGCTCAGCAAAAGGCTTTGTCTTGTCTCACTGGCTTCTCAGAGAAATCACAAGTGGAAGGGAAATGGTCTCTAAATTCAGCTCATCAGCAGGCACTGGGCTATTTCACAGCCCAGAAAAAGCATTTCTCCTTCAAGCCCTTTTAAGAAGCCTCACAAAGGTAGATATAATCAAGACTGAATTGCAGCACAGAAGTTCTTTGCAGCATGTTTCTAAAACACCCTTTGGATCTGGTGGAGAAACCTCATTCCAGCAAGCTGGAAAGTGCTTAAATCCCAACTGTTTTCACTCTATTTAACTAAAATATGTGGGTTTAACCTAAAAAGAGAAAAATTGCTGAAGTCACTGAAACCCTTTAAACACTTTCCAAAGGTCAATAAACTTTTTTCCTTACAAAAGCTGGCTATTAATAGAAAGAACTCAGTCTCAGAGAGTATCAGAGCTGCCTAGGCTGACTGAATACAAATTGATGTGCAATATAATACGACTTTTGTGTCTTCTGTTTCTTCAGGAGCAACCTTTCTCTATTGCTTTCATTTCCTCCTCATGTTTGCATAAAACAAATCCGGAAAATAACAGAAAATATCAATTTACACAAACAAGACTCAAAACTAGGGGAGTAAATCATGCCTTTGGAATACTGAGATCAAGGAATACCTACTCACTCAGCACATCATCTGTAGGCCGTGGGCATTTGGCATCAAACACTGAGTTAACTTCAGAAGCTGTAAGAAAGATCACAAATCTCCTAATGTACTTCCTAATTTAGGTTTCAAAGCAGTACTTGAGCCCAAACAGGCTCGACCAAACAAGACTCACTGCTCTGAAAATCCCACACCCTCCATTTGTAGCTTTTTCTAAATATGGAAAAATGAAATTGCAAATATTTCAGATTATTGCTTGCTTGAGTTGTGTGTGTAGCTGGAGTAATGGCCTTTAATAAACCGAGTTGGCAAGGATTTAAAGTGTTTTGAAACAGGAACAATTCATCATTGCTCTATAGGCTTTTTGTAAACAGCCCCCTGTTGGTTAGAAAGTTGTCCTTAGAGAGAATAAATTGCTTGTTTTATCCAAAACAGGCTAGTAAAAATCTCTGAAACTATACATACATATGTATAAACAAAAAAAAAAAGTGCAATAATGCACAAAAGAGCTTATTTTTTCCAATCTGTAAACTCCCTCTAGCTAAATCTCCGATTAGTAAAAACACAGTGTGTATGTGAGGGGGCAATGATCAGAACTGCAAATAGTCTGGCCAAGGTTTAAGAATTTCAGTTTGGGAAAACCTTCATTTTCCTTTGTGGTTCCCCATCTGCAGACAGGTACAGTCAGGAGATATTTGTCAGGCTTGCATGGCTGAACATTTCTCCATCATTCCCAATTCCTGGTGCACCTTTAGACTTTCCATGCCCAGCCTCAGCTGGGCTGATCTGTTTAGGCTATTTGATCAAGCAGTTTCTAAAAGGACTGGAACAGAAGAAGTAGGAATACCTGGCATTCATCTGGGCTGGACAGGGATGTGTGTTTTGAAGAAGTGTGCGACTGTTCCTTTCAAAACCACTCACCATTTCCAAGCACAGGGCACAGTAAGGGTTTTGAAAAACAGCAGGCACATATAGGAAGTGTCACTTCTTTATGCAGAGGATTAAAGCATCCACTCAAAACTAGTCAAAACTGTTCAATCATGGTTTCCAATGCATCCTTTTGTTTATCATTTGAAAAAGGTTTCCTCTGATTTCTTTCCCTTAACCAGAGGGCCTGCAGAAGCAAGAGAAACTTAATGAGCTGCTCTAACTGTGGAAGAAGGAATAGTTAAAGTGATCTGAATCAGTTGTTCTTCTTTAGAAGTATATCACAGCTTCCATGATGTTCTGACAAGATCTTTTTTTGTGCAATCAGTCTTAAATATTTTCACACAAGTGATCATTCAGTCATGAAAAATAACGTAACATCTGTCGCAGTTTTCAGTTTAAAGCATAGCTTACAAAGTAAAAAGGGGAAAATCTCCCCACTTTTCGTTTAAAAAAATTAAATTAAAATGTACAGGACCAAACACAGGCACTTTCCAAAGAACAAAAATGAAACCAAACCATGAATTATTCGATAGTAATAGATGACAGCTCCGGTTTGGGAGGGTCACCCGCGGCTGCCTCAGCAGCGGTGTTAGTCTTTGGCTGCTCTGGCACATCTTCTTCCTTCTCTGCCAACCCACCCAGAGACCCCAAGGGGAAAGTGCTTTCACAATTCTGAGTAGATGACACCTGTGAAATGACAGGCATTTGGACAGAAGAGTTGCTCTCAAAGCCATGCTCCCCTAGCTCATACTGCCCGAGGGTCTCCTCTTGTTCCTGGTTTAAGTAGTCCGGTACTAGGAAGTCACTGCAGGAGGGGTAAAGGACAGAAGAGAAATGTCATTTCTCACACCATGGTAGCAGCTCCATCACACAAGCATTGTCAGAGAACAAAGGTACTCATTTCACATTGGCCAAGATCATGGCACTGACATACCCCACTAAGCACCATCACCTGCTTCTCATTTCCACACACACAGAATTTATTCAGTGGCATCTACTTCACATCTGTATTTCCTACACAGCAACTTCTTATGATTAGATTGTATCACCTTGATGAGAATGAAAGTTAATGTCTGGAACACATTTGGCACTGCAAACCTCATTGATAAAAAGGGAGCACTCAGGCTTTAAAAATAGAAACAAAAATGAGTTCAGCACTGGCAAAATGTGGCCCTTTCCATGTCTGAGGTACAGCATCACCCAGAGCAGCAGCAGGACTTCCCTGTGAGTGGGCAGGCTGGAGCCAGGGGCACAGGTGAGGCAGCTGAAGGCAGAGGGAGCTGCCAGCTGCACTGGGGGTGTGATCCTGACATGTATCACACTCCTGAGAAAAGTATGGAATTGCATTTCCTTCCCCTTTTAATCCTTCCTGGATAACTCTTGTGCTATGCACTCTTAACAGCTGAGGGCTGAGTGGATCCAAAGAAAACCTACCAAACACTCCAGCTGTATTTTCAGAGCATGAGGACATAATGGAAATAAATTTCTTTGCATGTTTTCAGCACCAGACATGAAGTTTGTACTTGAGACAAGTATATACATGTATTACATATATGCACATTTGTATGCTTGGGTTCACCTGGCAATGCCTCAGTTAAAAGAAATCCTTAAAGGACAGAAGCATTCACTGCTCCAACCCAAACTCTGCTAAACCTCATGTTTGTCAAATCAGACTGAAGGAAGGGCTACAGGCAACTAAAATCACACCCTTTAATGCGACTTTAATTTGCTGACAACAATGCAGTGCTTACCACAACCAGGGCATCACCCTGCAGAGTGTTTGCTGCAGTTTTGGCACAAGAGCCAAGAACAAGAACTGTGTAAGCCCTCAGATATGAAGCACTTGTACTTTTAAACAATATTTTGCTGAAAGAACAGCATGGCTTTCCTGCTTTGTTTTTCAATCTTTTTCATCCTACGTCACTTCTGAGTTAATCAAAGAGAACAAAATACTCAAATGTTTTTATGGGAAGAAGAATGATGTCTGGAAATCAGGAGGGGTGGGATTGTGATGCTGTAACATTCAGAACATTGCATTTTTTGCATTGCTGAAGGCAGATGACTTACACACAGCAAGCTGCACTCTCTCTATAGATTTAAGAGCTGGAAGATCTTCCTGTCTTCAATTTCTCTCATCCAACTTTTATATTTTCTATCTTAAATTCCAACAATTATTTTTATATCAATGAGAGAACACAGTGCTCGTCTGATACCTCAGAACTCTTTTAACAGTCTTTAGCAGTGCATTTGTGAGATACGCCAAGTCTTTGGTGCCCTGATAAAAAATGTCCAAGTGGCCCTTACTATTTCCAAACCTATTAGCCTAACCATTTAGTAATGTTATCTAGAAAATGAGAAAGGAGAAGGTCTGGAGTCATGCAATCTTTCCACAGTGTAAAGCAAGCACTTAAATGAAGTAGGAAGTCTGTGCCCTATGAAAGTGAACAGACTATGTACAAGATTTTGAAAAGCAAATCAATATAAAATCACAGATACTGTAGGACAGAACACTGTGGCTTCACACCATTGGCCTGGCCATAGGTACTACTGAAAAGAGAAATTAAATAACCCAGAACCAGCCTCTGCATATCACTGGATTCTTCAGTAGCCTCCTATATAGCTCCCATGCTGTAAGACAGATCAGATACAACAGAGAGTGGAGCAGGAATCAATCTGACTGGAATTAGCTGGCAGCCTGATGAGAGGCACAGCAGGCTGCCCTGAAAGCAGGAAATGATGATCTAAGGAAAAAAAAAAAAAAAAGAAAAAAAAGAAAAAAGCAAGTTTCCCTGTTAGGTTTTTGCTGTGCACCTCACCTGCTCTGGAAGTAGTTTGCTAGCTCTGACGCTTCATGGTTCAAGCTCCTCAGGTGAACGATTAAATTTCCAGAGTTGGTGAACATGGCGCCGCATGTTTTGCACTCGTAAATCCGAGGCTTGCGGATAATGTGCCGGGAAACCCGCATGTGGTGTTTATATTCCCCGAAGGAAGTGAAAGTGGCACTACATATCTGGCACCGGAAACAGCGTTTACCTTCGTGCTTCAGGCGATGCATCTTGAGCGAGTAAGCGCGGGTGAACTTTTTCCCACAGCGGTCACACTGAAAGGGTTTAATGCCTGTGGGAGAGAGCACAAACACCTTCACCTGGGGAGCACAGGGCACAATCCTCCCCACAGACAGCAGCTCTGGGTGCTCACAGCAAAGCCCTGCTTGAGGAAGAGATTCTCTGTTAACAATCAGAGAAGAGCTGCACTCCCTCAGGACAATCTCCAGGAAATCTCAGGTGTAAGACCCAAAATGAGGGATGTGGGACTCCAGGGGCTCTCCAAAATGCAGTTTATTGTATCCAAAATCCAGTTTATTGTATCCAAAATCCAGTTTATTCCATCCAAAATGTTACAGCAGTCCAGGGTGGTGGGTGACAGAGCTGTGCCCACAGCTGTCAGCTCCAGCTGCAGGCAGGCCTGGAAACCTGCATCCCTCATTCAGGCTCTTACTAATGGTGCCCCACGTTGGGCGCCACTGTAAGAGCCGAAATGAGGGATGTGGGACTCCAGGCAGCTCTTCAAAATGCAGTTTATTATATCCAAAATGCAATTTATTGTATCCAAAATGTAGTTTATTGCATCCAAAATCCAGTTTATTCCATCCAATATGTTACAGCAGTCCAGGGTGATGGGTGACAGAGCTGTCAGCTCCAGCTGCAGGCAGGCCTGGAGCCCTTTGGTTTTGGTTACAATGCATGATATACTTTTCTTTTGGTTACAATGCATTCTATACTTTTCTTTGCTGAGCATCTTAATACAGTAGAACCAATCTAGACCTTAACTATTATCTATAGCCTGTCATAACTACTGTAATTACCATATTCATGTTGCTGTTCTCCAATCACTAAAAGTTAGTACATTACCATTTAAGTTAGAAGTTGTTTTTTAGTTTTCTTGCAGTGGAAAATTCTGAGACCTTTTTTCTACTTGCCACATTTGCTGACTTGTTTGCCTGTCCTATCTTTCTGCTTGGTGAAAACATCTTCTTGTTTGGGGTGGGTTTATCCTTTGCTCTAAGCCATAAAACCCCTTCTAACCAACACACCCTCTGCCTCCTTGGTTTTCCAGCAAGACTGGCTCAGCAATTCTTTTCTTCTATATCAAAACTTGCTTCCATCTCTATTCCTTCATTTTAAAATCTTTCTGTCAAGCACACATATCTGTGAGACTTTCTTGTCAAACTTTTATCCTTCCCAACACTCATGGCTGTGACCTGTCCTGAGGCTCCTTCCCCACGGTTTAAATGAGCTCAAGCTCCCATGGATTAAAGATCCCCAGGTGTGGGAATTTATAAAATCAGAGGGTTTTGGGAAAGCTGCAAAAGGCAGGCTTCAGAGACAGCAGAACTGAGATTAGAGCTGAAAGCATCTTCCCATTGCCATAACCCTGTAATGAAACTGATACTAAAAAATAAATCAGCTCAGAGCACGTTCCTCCACAGTCCTGTCCCATTTGTGATTTGTACAGAGCCCGCAACCAGCAACACCCAGGCACAGCCACAAGGCCCTGATGTTGCAGCCATCTCCTGTGCCTTTGAACTCCTTTGATCTCGGCAGATTCTTGTGCCAGACTGGTTCCCAACAATGCAATTATCAGCCTACCCTTAATTGCAATGTTTTTTTCTGGCTGCCTTTGGCCTCAGAGAAGTGTTCTGGCAAGGGGACTGTGCACAGGGACGCCCCTGTAATGCAGCAGGAATGGTGATAAAAGGGGCAGTAGGAGCCTTTATATTGCGTGGGAACCTTGCTGCACAAGGATTTTCGGCAACTTTGCATGACAGACAGCTCTCTAAGACAGCAGAGCTTCATGCCTCTCATTTTTTTCTTGTATTAATTTAGAATTTTTTTCTTGTATTAATTCTAGAAATTCAGTTCCTAGCTCATTTTTCATTTCTCACCCTAAAATATGCGAGCTCTGCAACACGTTGGAGTGGCTGAGTGTTTAATCACACAAACAGAACTATTACAAGATAAAATTCTGAGTCACCAAAACCTTAGGATTTAATAAAAAGTGTGAACTGCAGAAAGTGGGAAAATCCAAACATGAGGTTAAGAATCTGGAATATGGAGCTCTATTCATAATAGGGCTGTCAAGGAATAAAAAAGATTTTCTCAAAAGGCTGAATGTGCATCAGCCCTGGCTGTTAATTCCCCCAGTCTTTCACTCTGCTTTCCTTACTTTCAAAGCAGGAGGTGAACTTTTAATTGAGGGCTTTTAGACAGAGAAAGCTGTAGTTAAGGTTACACTGCAATGCCCTGTTAAGCATGTGAAAACAAGTTAATAAACTGGAATATGGTCTGGTGGAGCTCAAACTTTTCATGCTTTCCTAGTGTCCAAGGGCACCTATTTCCTCTGGTAGTTTGAGGGAAATCTCTTTAGCCATTTTACTCATGTGAAAACACTTTCAACATTTACAAGCTTTGAGAGTTCTTTTGCATGTTAATTATTCTAAACCAGCTATTCAAAGCACTCCCAGCTTTACCCAGGGGTTGTCAGGTGGACCAGAGATGCTTTGCTGTCAGATTTTAACAACAGGCTTGGGATCATTCTGCACCTGATATGCCCATAGAACTTACTTTTTCAAGTATTAAACACATATCTGGCTATTTTGCTTGAAAGGATTTGACAAATAATTGTTGACAGGGAAAAAATTACACCTTGTCAGTTGTGGGTGCCCTGTCCCAGAATGGTTCAGCCTCTGTGCGCAGGCAAGAGTCAGACTCAAACCAGGAGATGCTAAGCCATGAGACTTAGTGGCCAAATGCAAAAACCCTTCAATATTCCCTTTATTCCCTCAAATGTCAATGTTATTGCCACATAATGCTGACAAGTCTTGAAAACACCAATAGCAAAGACATTGAGGAGTTCATGCTTGGTTAGAAATCAAAATGAATTTGGGGACCCAGGCCCAGAGAAGACATTCTCATAAACCTCTGGCTGCCTGTGCTACCTGCAGGAGCTAAATTGATAATCAAACCAATTCAGTTGTCCTGCAATCCCTCCAAAAAGTCTGAGATCCAAAGGCATGCAACCTCCTAAAATGCAAGGACACAGATAGATAATATTTTCTTATGCAGAAAGGAGACTTTATGCAAGTCTGCTCTGAAACACAGCAGAGAATTGCAACATGGCAGAGGAAGAATTTCAATCTATTTCTTTAGTGCAATACAAGGGCCAAGTATATTTTATTTCATCTCAGATCTTTTTCAGGAAAATTATTTATCCTGATGAGTTGCAGGCAATCAGGTTTTTTTCAGTCCACACAAATGCTGATTATCCATGAGCACAACTATCAGTCAGACTCCAGGGATCAAAACAAGCATTCAACGACAAACCTCTACCCAATCTTTCTGAAATCAACTCTCAAGCACTTGGCAGGTGAGTAAAAAAGCTGCATTATTACAAGGCTGTGAGTCAGGAACTGGGGGAGCAGGGCTGTTTCTCACCTGAGTGGATGAGCATGTGTTGTTTCAGGTTCTGGATGCGGGTGAAGCGCACCCCGCACGTGGGACACTGGAAGGGTCTGTCGGGACCGTTGGGGCTGGGCCTCTCTGTGCTGCTGGTGGAAGGAGCAATGTAGAGTTGGTAGGGATACTGAACGTTCTCCAGACTACAAAGAAAAAAGGCATTCATTTACAAAACCAGCCAAGAAGCCTCCTCTGCAAAAATCGGAACCTTGAGGGCTTTTGTGGGAGAAGGAAGAGATTGGCACATCACATTTCTGCTGAAATCTCATTTATTCTGGAAATCTCTGGGTCTGTAGCAATGTGTCTGATCTGCACCTGAAATCTTACAGTCACTGACTCTGCACATCTGAGCACACCCAGGGAATAAGCTCAGAATTCTGTTTCTTTGGGCCTGAGCACAACTGCAAGCTGAACTGAATGTTATTTTCCAGGCGTGGGCATTTTCTCCAGCACATCGATGACTTGCAATCACTAAACAGTCCCTGAGGAAGAGTTTATAGAGCTGAGCAAATGAAAAGCAAAGGAGTATTTTGCAGCTTCAGTGATATTTACAAATGAAATTAAAGCCAATTAATTTTTCATCTCAATCCAAGCTCCATCAACAAATACTAGCATCTACAATTGCACATTTCTAAGTTTAAAATATTAATCTAATGAAGCAATACTTGCTCCTTGTCTGATTCAAAGAGCTCCAGTGCTGTGTTTAAAGAACAGCACATGAACTGCAATGAGGAACAATTTAACTTTCAAAGTAATTTATTTAAAACTGACTAATTGCTCCTCCATAGCCTCCAGCTGCAAACTGTTTAAGGGAACTACAGTGCTCTAATCCAAGTCCTCTGGCAAGGAGCTTGCTAAAGGGCACAGTGAAATAGGAACAGATCTGCTGGTACAAACAGGGTTTGTATTACCTGGGGTTTCCCTTCCCTGAGCATTAAAATCTGTATTTTTGGTGAAATTGCCATTTCAGCTGCTCCCAGCCTGCTGAAAGATCAGCCATCAGTGGCAGCAGGGAACTGCTCTGACTCTGGTTGTTCACAGCACATTGCAACCTGAGCTTTACTAAAGTGAAATGTCCTGAGAAAAGATGCAATGGTGCCTCCTCACAGTCAGAAAGTTTTCCTAACTGAGGAAATCCTTCTGCTACTCTGCCTCCCCCTCAGGCCTAGAGGGCTGGGATCAGGGTAATGCTGGATGTGAGGGTTTATAACACTCACACAAATGAAACATGCACTTTGCACAAAGACATTTTTCTAGGCATCATACAACAATTCACAGAGCAGCTCAGCACAGGTGGGGAAGAACCAGGATCATCTCTTTAAAATCAACACTTAAACTGTCTTTAATGTGGAAAAGGATGGCACTACAACTGTGAGGACAGGGGGGGATCTGAATTCTGAGCACACAATTCTCAGCAGCCAAAGTTCCAGTTGTAAAATTTATCTGGAGAGAGAGCACCAGGTATCTCTTGATACACACAGGATTAAAGGGTTTCCTGTAGAGTTTAGTATCACTCAGTCTGTGAAACCCTAAGGATTTCTGACCTCACATGGCACTGGCGGAAGATTTGCACTAAAGAAGACATTTTCTTGTCCTTGACTTTCTATACACAGTAGGGTCCCAGAGCAGTGGAAAACAGAGATGTGACGGATTGTTGATCTGTGATAAAGGGAATATTTGCAAGAGCAAAGTCACTAGCTCCTGTCCTGGGCCTGGCAGAATGGAGCTCTTTGCCATTCTGGGGTCTAAAAAACATCAACTGAGGCGTTTTGAAATAAATGAGAGTATTTTAAACACAGGTTCTGATTTTTCTAACCAAATTCCTGACCAAGGCTGGCACTCTGCTTCCTTTTTTATACATGTAGTGTGCTCAAATAAGAATAACATTTGGGTTTTGTGACAACAAAGAATTTCATCTTCTGACAAGTTCCTTAGGTGCTGCCTCCCTCAGTGCTGTGGTAGGGGACTGTGAGGAGGCACAGGCACGTTGTGCTGCTGGAGCTTACTCAGGAGACACCCAAAGTAGGGCAGCAGAGCTCTCCTTTTGTTTCCAGCTCAGGAGCCAGAGCTCTCCTTTTGTTTCCAGCTCTCTTGGGCTCACTCACCCTCCAAGCCTGTGCTGGTGCCACCTCATCCCCTGGAGAAGTGTTATGGGCACAGCTCCACAGAAGAAATTGAAATTAAAGCCTGTTTTTTTAATTCATCCATCTTTCATGGTGAGGAGGGCTGATTAAAGCAGATGCAGTGGGAATCAGAGGCTCCCCAGCTATCAGTGCCTGGCTTGTCTTTTCCCATGCTCACACTGCCAGCAGGGTGAAATACCTACTTGGTGACATAACTTAGCACCATGAAGAGATTATATTTGAAACATTATTAGATTCTCTCTCCCCTGCTTCTTTTTCCTCCACATTTACTTAATTTTTTTGCAATTTGTGATCAATATGGCATTTAACAGCTGAGATTCGCCTGACATCTCCAAGAACTTCTGTACATAGAGAGAGAGGTTTCAAATGTTGTCACTGAAATATCCTACTGACACTTTTTCCTCTTTTCACCCTGAGATTATTTACTATATAGAACTGTATTTAACTATATAGAACTAAACTCTGACAAACATGAATGCCAAAATGGCAGTGAACCTGGAAATGTTCATTATTTGCAAATAACTATTATTTTAGAGAAATGCAGGTTCTCATTCTATTGGATCAGAGAGACTTTTTATAACTTTTATAAATGAGCAATTCCTTTTTAAGTATAGCCACAAACTGATACAGAGACCAACTGTTACCGCAGGCAAGATTAGAAAAGTGACATAACTTAGCACCATGAAAATATTATATTTGAAACATTATTAGATTCTCTCTCCCCTGCTTCTTTTTCCTCCACATTTACTTAATTTTTTTTGCAATTTGTGATCAATATGGCATTTAACAGCTGAGATTTGCCTGACATCTCCAAGAACTTCTGTACATAGAGAGAGAGGTTTCAAATGTTGTCACTGAAATATCCTACTGACACTTTTTCTCCTGAGATTATTTACATATTTAACTACGCAGAGCTAAACTCTGACAAACATGAATTCCAGGTTCACTGGCATTTTGGAAATGTTCATTATTTGCAAATAACTGTTATTTTAGAGAAATGCAGGTTCTCATTCTATTGGATCAGAGAGACTTTTTATAACTTTTATAAATGAGCAATTCCTTTTTAAGTATAGCCACAAACTGATACAGAGACCAACTGTTACCGCAGGCAAGATTAGAAAAGTGACATAACTTAGCACCATGAAAATATTATATTTGAAACATTATTAGATTCTCTCTCCCCTGCTTCTTTTTCCTCCACATTTACTTAATTTTTTTGCAATTTGTGATCAATATGGCATTTAACAGCTGAGATTTGCCTGACATCTCCAAGAACTTCTGTACATAGAGAGAGAGGTTTCAAATGTTGTCACTGAAATATCCTACTGGCACTTTTTCCTCTTTTCACCCTGAGATTATTTACTATATAGAACTGTATTTAACTATATAGAACTAAACTCTGACAAACATGAATGCCAAAATGGCAGTGAACCTGGAAATGTTCATTATTTGCAAATAACTGTTATTTTAGAGAAGTGGAGGTTCTCATTCTATTGGATCAGAGAGTTTTTATAACTTTTATAAATGAGCAATTCCTTTTAAAGTGCAGCCACAAACTGATACGGACACCAAGATTAGAAAAGTGTGTAACAATCCAAATGTGAAATACCAGAGAAGGAATAGATGAGACTTCACTGGAACAATAATTTTAATACTTAACAGACTCCTGTGTGCCTATTAAGCTGACAACAATTACATGTGACCTACTGTTTATGAAACACTGATTATGCAGGAGGCCAAATTAATGATGTTAATTATTTAAGACAGAAACTCAAGAGATAAGACATCTTAGTTTTTGAAATGTTTATGATTCTTCCACAGTGACATGGATGAAATATTAAGAGACCTTTAGAGGGACTGGGCTTTTGCTTTGTTTTAGAAATAGAAATGTAATATATTACATTTATTAATATAATAAATGCTTATTACAACATACATTTTTCAATATTAGTTTGCACTGGGCACACACAACTGATTTTGACATTTTGAGAATTTCTAGTGGTAAAGAAATATACAACATGGAGTTAAAGGTACATGAAACATTCAGTTTGGGAAGGAAATTTTCTCCATCTGTACAATGTATTGATTGGGTTTTTTCTGATTCAGCTAGAGAAACATGTTTTACTTTATTCAGAATTTTTATGCACCCAAAACTGTGTGCCCAAATTGCTGCACAGTGGACAACAATCCATATTTACTGGCTGCTGTGTCCATCCCATGCTTGAAATGGGAATTTAAGTCATGATTGAAGGGCTGTCCCAGTGTATTTGAAAGCACTGACAAGACAAATACAAACCCCTGAAAGGAAACTGCTCAGCTCTTGGAAGCATCATTGTAAACATTTAACTGGTTCTTGGAATCAGAACATTCTTGACACTTTCATTTGAATTTATAAAATAAATCACTTGGTAGAAAATTTTAGTTCTGGAGTCTAAAATCCCCATGACTCTCAGTTCACTTGTTGCTATTGAAACAAGGTGCAAATTCAAGTTCATTTTCCTGATACTTCTGTCACTCTGAGACTAATTATTTTCAAACTGGAGCATAAACTAAGGAAAATATTCTTTCCTTCTCTGCATGTAGGAGATATTTTAGTGGGAATTTTCAGCATGTTTAAAGACTTTGTTATCTTTTGAATTTTCTATGCAATTTGTGCTGGAGCTCTGCAGTTTTATAGGAAATTTCTGAAATAATCCACTGCTGAAAATATGTGTGCCACTTGACTTCAGAATTACAGGTTTCAAAGCCTGGATTAGTTCAAGTGCAACATGTGCTCCTACTATTAATTCAACCCTTAAGTGCTGGGTGTTATTTTTACACTCAGGTTTGTTAGCAGATAGATAAAATCTTCCATGTCATCCAAGAAGTCTTATCTAAGCAGTTATTTTCCCTTTTTAAGGGAAGTGGGACAGATTTGAGATGGAAACGACAGGAAAGATTTTATGAGCTATGAAAATGCAGCTTTTGGTTATTATCCCTATAGGGAGCTTCTCTTGACACATTTTCTGCAACAACTTCCAAAGGTTCACATTTCTTCCTCAGATTTACTTGTCTTACAAACCCCAGTTTGGAAAAACGTGCTGAGAGAGGGGAGGGCTCAGCACTGGAAGTCAGAGGAGCTGAGAGCAGCCCCGTGTGCCATGCTGGGTACCTCACTTGGCTCTAACAGAACCATGATGTCTCTTTGACCAAACAGACCCAGTTTAGTTTGGTTTTCTCTGCCAACCTTCCCTTATAAGGGATTCCCTTAATAAATCACTCAGCTCAGCACAGCAAAAGCCTGCTAAATATTTACAGCAAGTGCCACACAGCATCTTGGTAAGAACTACAGGCAGAAAGTTTGGGGGAAGAGATTTAAGGCTGCTCTGCTTCTCCTGTGGCTTGCAGCAGTGAGGTCTGCTGAAGTCAGGGCTAGGCCTTGTTTTCAGTTGTTTCACATAGAGGTTTAATTAAAATTTATTAACACAGAGCAATGATGAAGAAACAGCAAGAACAGGACTATCTTTCTTCACCAGGGCTGCCTGGAAATAAACAGGAACCAAAAAGCAACGAGTAAGCAGATTGTGACTTTCATCACCTACATTCTCCTAAAGCATCTGCCCCTCCAGGCACTGATTGTACTTTGATCAACACACAGAACTCGATGTAGGGACAACTAAACATTGTGGGATTAAGGCTGGGGAGGTTCATTACAGCACCCACTTGGTGCAGAACACTTTGCACACCAGGCTGGTACATACCGATCATCATCGTCTGCGTGAGCGCTGGTGCCAGAGGTGCTCTGGAGTGTGGGCAGTCCCTCTGTAACCCCCTCATCTATGGAGCCTAGGCAAAGAAAAAAGGGCAATTTAATGCAAATAACTGCTCAAAAAGGGTTGGGGGGCAGGTAAATGCACATCACGGTTGCTTTCTCAAATCTCTGATAGACACTGATAGCTGGGTGATAAGATAATAAAAGTGCCTTGGGAAAATCATTTATAACACCCAGAAGCAACTTGTTCCAAATCAGCTGCTCTCTGCACAGATTACCCAGTAAATTGACAATTCAATAAGGGCACATATTTGGTACACCTAGAAAATGGAAATGTTAAATACAGCCAGTTTTCAAAACACATCCAGCACTAGCACTGAAAAGCAGAAATGTTACATTCACCTAAAGGGACGATTTTGTCAATTCTTCAAGACTTCCTGAGCAATAAAGAGTTCAAACCTGCCACACTAAATGGCTTTTGTGGTCCAAATCATCCATAAATATATTGACTGATAATGTCTTCATTTATTGATAAGCAGCTGAGACAGGAAGAGCCCTCTGGGAAATCAGAAATGCAACACAAAAAAGACAAAACAGTTGTTTGTTAGAGAAATGTACAAACAAAACCACTCCAGAGCTCTGGGGCAAATGTGGCTCAAGGGGCCTGGGGAACAGACTCCAAGGAAATTCAGCACTAAAACAAACCCACACCTTCATTCAGTGATGGCTCATCTGTCATCAGCTCCAGAGTTTGGTCAGGCAGCCCCTGGATGTCCCCACTAAATCCACGGGACATGAGATGGGGAAGGAGATTTCTCTCCCTAAACCTTGAGGACAAGCAAAGTGCAGGACAGTGCTACGACCTCCTCTGGCTGCTGGGGTGAAATAATTCTAAGAGAGGGCTACAGGAGCAACCTGAATTTGGGGACCCTAAAGGTCACCAGGAAAATCAAATAGAATTAGGTGTACACTGGCAAATGTCAGAGAAATGCAGCACTAAAACAAATCCACACCTTCATTCACTGATGGGGCTGCTGCTCATCTCTCATCAGCTACACATGTCCCCACTGAATCCACAGGACATGAGGACAGGTGAGGAAGGAGATTTCTATCCCTTCATCTCCACCCTGAGGACAAGCAAAGTGCAGGACAGTGCCAAGAGCTGCTCTTGCTGCTGGGGTGAAATAATTCTGCTTTCTAAGAGAGGAGCAAGCTGAATTTGGGGACCCTAAAGCTCACCAGGAAAATCAACAGAATTAGGTGTACACTGGCAAGTGTCAGAGAAATGCAGCAAATCCACACCTTCATTCACTGATGGCGCTGCTGCTCATCTCTCATCAGCTACAGAATTGTTCAAGCAGCCCCTGGATGTCCCCACTAAATCCATGGGACATGAGGACAGGTGAGGAAGGAGATTTCTCCCCCTTCATCTCCATCTCAAGGACAAGCAAAGTGCAGGACAGTGCTATGAGCTGCTCTGGTTGCTGGGGTGAAATAACTCTAAGAGAGGGCTACAGGAGTAACCTGAATTTGGGGACCCTAAAGGTCACCAGGAAAATCAAATAGAATTAGGTGTACACTGGCAAATGTCAGAGAAATGCAGCACTAAAGCAAATCCACACCTTCATTCACTGATGGGGCTGCTGCTCATCTCTCATCAGCTTCAGAGTTGTTCAAGCAGCCTCTGGATGTCCCCACTGAATCCATGGGACATGAGGAAGGGAAGGAGATTTCTCTCCCTACACCTCCACCTCAAGGACAAACAAATGCAGGACAGTGCCAAGAGCTGCTCTTGCTGCTGGAGTGAAATAATTCTGCTTTCTAAGAGAGGAGCAACCTGAATTTGGGGACCCTAAAACTCACCAGGAAAATCAATAGAATTAGAGGTACACTGGCAGGTGTCAGAGAAAATAGAAAACCAAAGAGAAGGAACAAAGATGGGGAAGGTGAAGCAGAAAATGTGCATATTCTGTCAAAAAGAATGAGAGATCTTCCCTGAAGTGAGAGATTCTTGTCTTAATGTGATGCCATGTTATGGGCCAGTGACAAGAGGAACATTGCATCTATGGCAGCTTCCCAATTAGTAAAATAAATTTTTTTGATTTTGTTAAGAAGTGACAAACTATACTTGGGATATTCATCAGCTAAGCAATCTATAAAGTACAAAAGTTAATCCCATTTTGATTTATCCTTCTTTCTCATGAAATACTTAAGTGACAGTCCACTAAAAATAAGCCCAACTGCTCTTAGGTTGAATTTCATGCCTCCACCTCTCAAATGCCAAAAGTGCTAATGAGTTATGAGAGTATCTTCTCAGACACAGCTGTTTTGTAACCATAATGATTTATTTCCCAAGTCCCTGCTCCACGTCTCCTTCCAAATATAATAAATTGCAAATGAACAATTCTTAAATTTCCCAAAGAGTGAATAAGAGCTTTTTGCAATATCAGAGAGAGGCAAGAATGCTTTTGTAAATGCACTACAAAACACTGAGATAAATATTTGCAATTATATGTGGAAAATACATTCAGGGGAGAAAAAGCTGTATTTTAACATATCTTGCTGCCTCCATTTACTATTCTTACATTACTGCATAAAGTAATGCATTTTTGGGAGGTAAAAAGTGCTTTCTAGCTACAAAGTGTGCTGTATCATAACTGGGCTAAAAAGCAAGAACACTGTTTCCCTTTATAGCAAAACATGAATAAAAACCATTCTGAGAATGGTTATTATGCCAAAACCACTAAATATTAATTCAAACACATTCAAAGACAAAGAGCAGATTTGTACTTTAAAGATTTTGCCCTGGCACATTTTTCTTCTCTCTGCAGCTGTTTTAAGGCAGGACATGCTGTACTAACAGCAATGATTTAAGTTTAAAAATTATAATCACTAAAGCCTGAGATTTTCTACCCCATGCACACAAAACTCCTCATCTGGGGCCTGGAGTTTACACCCAGTTTGTTCTTTAAGCTGCCTTGGTGTGATATTCATTTATATATTTATGATATATATCACTTGATATGCTATTTTTAACATTCCCTAATCATCACTGTTTCTTGTTCTATTTGTCTGTGATGATATAATTACTTTGATGAAATAATTTGCATCTCTTATCACATGGCCCTGGCAAAGCCTTTCAGTTCTGACTGCAATGAGTTAAAACTGAATCAAACAAAACCTGCTTTTGAACAAGGACCTCTATTCCTGGTGACTCCCCAGCAAACAAATAGTTTCTTTTAGTTTTTAATTTGTGCAATATTTTGCCAAACTACATTTAAAGATTGAGAGTTAAACTAGAAGACATGAAGTCTGTTCCTCAGCAAAGGCAAACATCCTTGTCTCCAATAAAGAAAACATTTTCATTTGGAAAAAGCACTACAATCTAAAATATCAACAAGTGGAGAACAATCCAACAGCACAGGCTGGCATAGATGGGAAATATTTTCATTTCTTTTTATGAATAGTTTGGCATTGAGTGTGTGTTGCAGTTCTGCAGGGTCAGCCTGATCTCACTTTCTCCAGGGATGTCACAGTGCTGCACTGACCAAAGCAAACAAATAATGCAGATTACAAGGCTACAAATCTTTACTGTGCTGTAGTTTATTTAATTCCTTAATGGGAGCAGCCTTTCACATACACATTATTTGAATGAAGCAGAGCAGTGCATTTGCCATTCTTCTAGCCTTCAAACAGAACAGGAGTTATTAAAAATCTTTCAGTAAACAAACTCTGCTGAGCACAGCTCAAGCCATTTGAGAGTAAAAGAGCTGACTTGGGCAAAATTTTGATAATTAAATTAGAAATATTGCAAAAGCTCTATCTTCTGATTTACTAAAAGCCATTCAATGCATTCTGTGCAGAGGAAAAAAGGGATTGTTCCAGTAACCTTTAAGTATTAGCTCTTAATAAAGAACAGCCTGCTATAAGATCCCAAAACTGGTTTCAAATTGTCTTTCATGGCAAAAAGATTTCTCTCAGCAACCAAGCAGCATTTGAAGAAGCAACTTGAGAATCAAATCCCACAGAAATGGAAAGATTCTCAATATGATGACTGTGTGGTTTTATTTTTGTCTGGGGCATTAAGATGACAGTGTTTCACCACTTATTTTGCAAATCCTCTTACAAAGGCTCTCTGTCACGATTATATGAGATTTGATGTCTGATGCAAAGCACTGTTCTAACCCTTTGTGGCTGCAGGCAGAAGCTTTGCAAATCTGATGCTGCAGCTCAGCTGAGATCGTGCCTTTTGGCACTGAGGAAAGCAGAATTAGGTTTCCCCAGTCAGGCAACTAGAGGTAAAAAGGAGTTATCAACCTCTGCTGAATCAAAGGGTTACCACAGGCTCACCATTCTCAGCTGCCTTCTGCAAAGTTAGTTAAAGAACTCCAAGTTTATGTGTAATATTTCAAAAATCAAGGGGGAAAAAGGGAGTTTCACCAAAGCATGAAAATCCACAAGGCAGATTTCTTCCAATGAAATCCCCAGTGCTCAGGTGGGACGTGTAACTGCAGAAATGGCCCTATCTATAGGTGAAGACTGAGGGCTGCCTGCTGCAAAGAACTCCAAGTTTATGTGTAGTATTTCAAAAATCAGGGAAAAAAAGGGGAGTTTCACAAAAGTAAAACGTGAAAACCCATGAGGCAGATTTCCTTCAATGAAATCCCCATGCTCAGGTAGGATATGGAACTGCAGAAATGGCCATACCTATAGATGAAGACTGAGGGCTGCCTTCTGCAAAGTTATTTAAAGAACTCCAGGTTTATGTGTAACATTTCAAAAATCAGGGAAAAAAAGGGACTTTCACAAGTGTAAAGCATGAAAACCCATCAGGCAGATTTCCTTCAATGAAATCCCCAGTGCTCAGCTGGGATATGGAACTGCAGAAATGGCCATACCTATAGATGAAGACTGAGGGCTGCCTGCTGCAAAGAACTCCAACTTTAGGTGTAATATTTCAAAAATCAGGGGGAAAAAGGGAGTAGCATGAACACCCACAAGGGAGATTTCCTCAATGAAATCCCCAGTGCTCAGGTGCCAGTTGGGATATGGAACTGCAGAAATGGCCATACCTATAGATGAAGACTGAGGGCTGCCTGCTGCAAAGTTATTTAAAAAGCTCCAAGTTTATGTGTAACATTTCAAAAATCAGGGGAAAAAAAGAGGAGTTTCACAAAAGTAAAGCATGAACATCCACAGGGCAGATTTCCTCCAATGAAATCCCCAGTGCTCAGGTGCCAGGTGGGATATGGAACTGCAGAAATGGCCATACCTGTAGATGAGGACTGAGGGCTGCCTTCTGCAAAGTTATTTAAAGAACTCCAAGTTGATGTGTAATATTTCAAAAATCAGGGAGAAAAAAGGGAGTAGCATGAACACCCACAGGGCAGATCTCCTCCAAAGAAATCCCCAGTGCTCAGATGCCAGGTGGGATGTGTAACTGCAGAAATGGCCATACCTATAGGTGAAGACTGAGGGCTGCCTGCTGCAAAGAACTCCAAGTTTATGTGTAATAATTCAAAAATCAGGGGGAAAAAAGGGAGTAGCATGAACACCCACAAGGCAGATTTCCACCAATGAAATCCCCAGTGCTCAGGTGGGATATGGAACTGCAGAAATGGCCATACCTATAGATGAAGACTGAGGGCTGCCTCCTGCAAAGTTATTTAAAGAACTCCAAGTTTACATGCAATATTTCAAAAATCAAGGGGGAAAAAGGGGAGTTTCACAAAAGTAAAGCATGAAAACCCACAAGGCGGATTTCCTCCAATGAAATCCCCAGTGCTCAGGTGGGATATGGAACTGCAGAAATGGCCATACCTATAGATGAAGACTGAGGGCTGATCAGGAGATCCTCCTGCACTTGCTCACTCCCTGGGACCGTCTGCTGGTCGCTCAGGGAGCTCTGGGATGCGCTCACAGGCTGTGACACCTCCTCGTGAACCTCCTCGTCACTGAGCCTTTCCACCTTGACTCGCACGTCCTCCTCGATCACCAGGGGAGAGCTGCCCTTGGTGCTCTCACAAGTCACATAATCTGCCATCCTCCTGCTGGACTCGGAGGGCCCAGGCATTTCCAAAGTCCTAGAGTTCTCCGCCTGCTTCACCTTTTCTGACTGAAGCCTTCGATCAATTCCAAAAGGAAAAGTCCAGGGAAAGGCTAGGGACGAGTCCACGGGCTGATTTCTGGACTCTGGGTAGGAAGTGGAAGGATTGAGCACTTGGGGGGAGCTGGTTTGCGTGTTGCACTTGAGGGGGCTCTCAGGAGACATGACGATGTAGCTTTTGCGCTTCCTCCGCGACTCCCGGCACACGGGGATGGTTCTTTCCACCACGCTGCACTCGGAGGACACCGGGGACAGGCTGCCGTCCCGGGAGGTGAAATTGCAGTTTGCACCGCTCTCCTGTCCCGCATCCAGCACCTTCTCCTGCTGGCTGTTGGGCGTGTTCCACAAAATGCTGGATTTCATGAACTCCGAGCAGGTGCTGGCCACGCTGAACATCTGCATGTAGCTGGCGGCGGCCAGCACGTCGATGATGTTCTCGGTGTTGATGGACAGCGTGGCCGTGTACGCGTACTCCAGCAGGGGGATGAAGCCCGTCACCGTCACGTGGTGCAGGTCCAACACGCTCTTGCCCTCGTCCTCCGCTTGGCCAACGAGTTTGGAGCGGAAGAAGTCGCTGCAGGCCGCCAGCACCACCTTGTGTGCCCTGAAGATCTTGTCCTGCACGCGGATGGTGATGTCGCAGAAGTGGCCGTCGTTGCGGAGCATGTTGAGCTTCCCCAGCATCTCCTGGCTGTGAGCAGGGGAGTTATGAGTGAATGTTTTAACACCCATTTTTAGATGGCTCTCTTAGCGTTCTTCCCACATATGACAGATCAAAGGTATCCTGAAATAAAGAGGAAAACTGTCATTTCCATCTCTGAAAGCAAAAGCCAAGTGCATTCGTGATTGTAAGACTTTGTATGAAGAAAATTCATCTGAATCCTCTAAGGATTCCTCTTAGATCCTCTGGATCTTAGGTTCCTCTAGGATCCAGACTCTGCAAGGGACATATCCACAGAAATGCAATTACTTGTAATTTTCATAATCACAGATTAAATGATTTACAATCTGTCCCTACCACCTTCCATACATCTATGTATCTATATCTCCCTATGCCTATAGGGGTATCTCTCCCTCTCCTCTCCACACTCCTTCTATGCCCACTCAAACCCAAATTCCCAACATAGTTCAAAAAAATGTTTGTAATACCAAAACCAAAGCATTTTAAAAACGGTGTAGAAACCTGTATTTTTATTTTCTGGGCCCAGAAAACCACTGTTCATAGTTGTTACTGACAGACTATTGAAGGTTTCTTTTAAACAGAAAAGTCAGGCTGAGCCAACAACAAGGGTGCAGGAGTAAGCAAATCTCCCAGGGAAGGTATTTAATACCAGAAAAGCTTCAGAGAAACTACAGCATGAATTTTCAGAGGCCAGAGTTCAAACAAATAAACATAAAAAACCAGTTGCCAATAGCTCTGATTTCCTGCTGTAGTGCAGGTATTGATTACCTAAAGCTGCTTTTAATAGCTTTAAACTAGGCTCAGAGGTTATTGAGAATTCCTTCATAAACACAATGCAATATAAACCTCAAAGGAAAGTTTAAGCTTAAATCAAATAGACATAAACTGATTTTATGTATGTGATAAATAAAACAAGGAGGGCAACTTCCTTCTGAAAAACACAAACTGCCTTCTTGGGACCAGTTCTCTCCATGTGGGAGCAAATGCATGTGTTTAGTGCAATGTCTGGATGAGAACGTTTGACCCCTGGATTTCCCCAAAAATTTCAGGAACATTTCACTGTGAAGGGAACATAAACCACAGTGTTTCACCTGCTTAAGCCCCTTCCAAGCCTCCATGGAAGCTCTCTGTGTTGCACGTGCCTCATACAATTAACACGAGACAGAATTATCTCACTGGTTAAACATCAACAGCATTATTGTGCTTGATTCATTCCTGGAGTCAGCCAGCTTCTGCACATCATCCTTCTTTCCCTTCCACACAAAAAAAACATTCCATGCTTGCAAATGGCTCACGTGGAGCTTCACAGAGCAACTGCAAGTGTGGAACAACTTACCCCAAATGTGACACATGGAAACAGCAGCTGGCACAGCCCACCTGGTTCTACAGACATTGACATTTGGCTGCTTCTTGTTCCTGGGTTTTCACTTTTGGTACTCAAACCCTTGCAGACAGAGGAACCCTAACTGTTCAAGAGAACAGATTAACTAACACCTGATAATATATATAAAGTCTGGTGGAAACTCTAAGGGCCATTTGGGTTTAAAATGAAATCTCACACTGGTGCAGAGGAAGAAGTTAAGCACAAGCAAAACATTCCCTTCACTGAAAGAAAACAGATCGACCTCAAGAGGCATCTGAATATCCAGACTCTTTGTTCTCCAGCATGAATCAAATGAAAAACATATTTCATTGATCTCAGACCAACACACTACAGCAAAATCTTGTAACAGCATATTTAGAAATGGCCTTTGGATCCCCTTCCTTCTGAAATGCTGCTTGCTGCAGCTGTTCCTTGGCACATCAGAAGTTCACAAGGACTTCTGTTCAGAATACAAGAACAACACATTCACAAGGCCTAGCCATGGAATAATTTGGTATTTAGAAATAGTACCAATATATTGTTATGAAAAAGGAGAAAGATCTCAGAGCAACCCTCCCAGTTCCTACAGGCCCAAAAGACAAAGCCATTTTCCTCTTTGTTCTTCTGAACAGGGAATGCTCAGCCCCCCAGCCCCAAAGTGAGAGCTCAATTCTGCTGCCCTGCTCTAAACCATTCCTGTCCTGCTGCCTCTCCCCTCTTCTGGCTTCCTTTCCCCTTCTCCTTTCATCTTTTTGCTTCCTTGACCTTGATCTGGTTACAGAATTGAAAATAAAACAGCGGAAGTCAGTGATGTGCAATAAATTGATTTAAATTTATTACAGGAGCAGTGTGCCTGCCACGACTGTGGGATATTGCTCTGTTAAATCACTTCTGGAAAATGACTTTCACCCTCACTGCACTGACACCTCCACTCAAACAAGTGGCTCCCACCCAGGCCTCAGTGTGAACAAGGAGCATGCACAAATGCTATTTTCAGAAAAATCCAAAGGGCCAGGCTGAGGAGGGGGGAAAAAAATCTCAGTTCCTTACAGTTAATGATGTAGTAAAAACATCAAATATTTTTAGAAGGTAATTTAAACAGTATGAAAGCATTTTCCACATGAAAAGATGAGCGTGCTAAAGCACAGCCAGGTTATCCAATGTTTTTTATCCAGGTTTTCCAGTCTTTCAGTGGCACAAGGCACTTTTACAGCTGCACTCAATTCCCACTGCCCTGAGAGGGTAAAGGGCTGCAACATCACAGCTTCAGCCCAAGTCCATCATCTGTGTATTATCACCATTTGAAAATAGCACTTTGGCAGGTCTGATTTGCCATCCTGAGTCCCTGACAGCAGCTCTTGGGTGCCACATCCAAGAACTAAATATACCCACGCCCTTGGGAGTGCTGGGGTGGGGACAGCAAGGTGCACACCTCAGCTAAGTGCTCAGTGGGCTGGAGCTGGAAAAGCTGTTAATTTTGGAGCCACAAACCATTCTGCAGGCAGGGAGCAGGGATGGTATCACAGAGAGTGGGGCTCCTCCTCCCACTCCCCAGGCACACACTCACACCCTGGCCCACAACACATTTCCAGCCTCCAGAGAAACACAGAGAAATTCAAGGCACTTTCACAGGTTTTAAAAATATTCACAGTGGGACACTTCAGTCCATATTTAACTTTGACACAGACATTTACAGTTGGAGAGAATGGTTTTTCCAGCATGCATTCCTGCCCTGGAAACATGTGAGGAATCACCATCACAGCATTCATCCCTGAACAAGGTGAGAATTCAAAAGTGAGCACTTCAGGGCTTCCAGAGCAAGGACAATTTTGTCCATTATTAGCCAAAAGCAGTCTGAAGGGAAGTGCTACTGTACCAAAGGATTTGTACAATTCATTTGAAAATTAGTTGGTTTTTTTTTTTAACACCTAGGGACACAAATGAAGACCTGACCTTTAAGTAGTTTGGAGTAACTCAGCTCATTCTCACTTTTCAGGCTACTGAAATGCAAGTTTTAGCAACAGCTACCACAGCACATGCACTGGTCTGGGATTCAACAGGTGTGAAGTTTCCGAGCTTAGAAACAGCAAAGATGAAACTGTACACTGTTAGTGTAATGTTATAATGTAATGAAACTGTGAATGGAAAAGAAACTGTATTGGAATTCAAAAATATTGTTTATGTGACCTATTTACTTCCATGTACACAAAATTTAGCTCCTTATTCACCTGCTGCCTGATGTGATTGGGTTTCAAACATGGTATCTACAACAATATTTTAGAAGAGTCAGTGAATCAAACTCAGGGAGCTGTCTGCATTCAGTTTCTCACTTAGTCATATAATTTCAAAACAGAAGTCATTTTTAGCACCACAAAACCACCACCCTACCTTTAACCTCCCTATCCTGATCCGTGGCAACTCACAGCATGAAAACAGCAGCTTTTTCTGAACGCTGAAACCAACAGACTTTATACCACTTTATAGCCAAGTAAGTCCTCAAAACAAATAGGAAATTCCCACACTGGTGCTCACCAAGCCCTCAGGTACATTCATCAAACTGTGATGTGAGCCCATGGTGTAAATCAGATCTTTGGTTGTTTTTTTTATATTATTATTTATTTTGAATGCTGATCACTCCTTGGGCACTGGTTAGAGCAGCAGTCCAGACACAGACAGATCTTCCACGGGGATAAACATGAGACCTGGAGCATTTTATCTCTGTCATCTCACTGAGGTACACAGGTACCAGCACCCCTCACTCCCTCAAATTAACTGGTTAGTATAATTAAGTATAATTAAGTTCATAATTGAGTCAGAACAACTGCTTCAATCAGAATGAACTACAAGGCTGCTATTTCTATTTCTATCTCTATCCAAACCCACATCTGTTTCCCCAACAGCAGCTGGCCTAATAAAAGGTGCTATCTCCATTATAAATCTTGTCCTGGTTCACTTCACAAAACTGCAGGCCAGAGCTCCCACACCATCCTAGTTTCAAATCAATCAACAGCACTTTTTAAACTTTATTTTAAATTATATTTTTACTCAGGTTAGTGAACCTAGTTTGACTTCAAGCCAGCACTGCCAAACCTGACAGAATTCATGTAAAAGAGGCAAACAGAGGTTTCTGTGCTCAATGACATCAGTGTGGAGCATTCACTCTGGAGCTCTGGAATCCCTGGAATGCAAACCTGTAACCTTTGGCTGCAGTGGGTGAGTGGACCAGGGAAATGACCCATTCTGGGAAGTATGCTGGGCTTGAGAAGTTCAATTTCCTCCAGGACAGCACATCGCAAACTGGGAGTGCACAAAGGAGCCAGTGCTCAGGAGCTGCTGCACAAACCCCGTTGTGCTCAACCTGAGAGATGCCAAGCTCCAGCCTGTGCTGGGTGAGGTGATGGCACAGCCTGCAAACAACTCAGGGAGCACTCAGGGCTGGGCCTGGCTCAGTCCTTGCCCTCTCAGTCACTGAAATATCCCTATGTCACTGAAATATCCCAGGACACTGCCCCCGTGTCCCTCTCCTCACAATGCTCAGGCACTTTCTGTTTTAAGGAGTTTGGAGCTGTTTTGTTCTTGGCCAGGGCTCCAGCTGCACATTGAACACTCGCCTCCCTGGGAGGATCTGTGTGCCCACCAAGAGTGGCTGATGACAGGTAAGGAACTCAGAGAGCTCCACTTGGGGGCTGGAATGGAAGAGCAATTTCACCTAAAAGCTGAAATACTACAACCCCTTATT